GTATATATTCTAATCAGTATATATTCTTATCAATATTACTATTTAGAGGATTTTTCTCTTAAAATAAGAAACTCTTCTTGGCGCTTATTTTAGTATAAAATATACTTAAAGTAAGTGGGATATCTCCTCAAAACAAGAATACAATTTTTTCGGTGCACGATTTCAACACAAGCGAAACACAAGCGTGAACTCACATTTCCTCGCACATTGTCGTAGAGAATTTCTTTCAGATTGCCGCGTTTGTCGTGAATCATTCTGCCGCGCATACGGGTGCTGTAACGTTTCAGCAGATCGTCCTCGAGACCGATCGCTCTCAAAGCCTCCCGGCCGCGATGCGACAGCGCCAGATTGATACTCTGACCGGGCGAGTCTTCCGACCGTATGTCTGAAAATTTGTTCGCGACTCGATCTAGACAGACTTTCGTTCCGCGGGAATTTTTTCTCACCGATTTTTACCTGAGCGATACTCGTAGACGGTTACTCGACAATCTCTCTTAGCGAAGAAACACGCGGCCAACGCTCCGACCTGCAACGTAAAATAACGTAATGTTTTTGTTTCTTTCTCACGTTTCTTCCAAAATGATCGAAATTTCTTCGTTTTTTTCACTCTCTTTGATCGTTAAAAATCAAATTGAAAGAGAAGAATTTTTTCCTCGGTGAAAATAAAACCTCAAACGCACCAGACCACCCCCGACGATGGCGACGCGAGACTTCCCGTCCACGTCCGCCATATCTGTTCCACCGTGGCTACCACGATCCAACTGTAAAGCGCGAACTGTCCCCTCACTCGTATATATACCTTCCTTCACACCCCATATCGACTTCTTGATTTCAAAGATAATCGATACGTTGCTTCTTACTTAACCGCCGGCCGCAAGCATTACAAGGTTAACATATATATTCATGATAGGAAACCATTTACAAAATTATGTGACGAAATCTTGCAGTAAAATTGTAATTTGCAATTGTACAAACATATTTTAGGAAATAGATGCAAAAACATTGATCTTTCCTGAAATATTTGTAGTTGTTTGCAAAATTACTTTCCAAATACTATTTCGGCAAAAGAATAACGATATGGCGAATCATCTTAGCGGTATATTTGCAAAATTAATTTCACAAAGAAATTGTCCAATACTTGAGAAAAGAAATTCAGATATGTGATGTTTAAAATATGTAGAAATATGATTGCATATGAAGAAATGCAAGAAATCGTCGTCACTCATGAAAAAATTGTATTCTTGTTTTGAGGAGAGAGAGAGAGAGATATTGCACTTACTTTAAGTATATTTTATACTAAAATAGGCGCCAAGAAGAGTTTCTTATTTTAAGAGGAAAATCCTCTAAATAATAATATTGATAAGAATATATACTGATTAGATTATAAAAAGCCTCTATAGAAAAACATATATATCTCACTATCGAAAAAGACTATATTCTTAAATAAAGAATATATTCTTAAATAAAGAATATATTCTTAATTTCAAAAGAATATCATCTAAAATCTTTAAGAAGATTTTTTAAGTATAAAATCTTCTACTTACGAGAATATAATTTTTTCGGTGTATATACTGTGGAAATGCATAACGACTTTTTCGCAATTTTTGACAAATATTATTTACCAAATTTTATTTCGACAAAACTGTTGCGTTATGGCGAATCATCTTAGTGCAATCATTGCAAAATCGTCGCCATTCATGATGCCATTTTTGTGGAATATTTTCACAAATGTGTCTATTAGGGCAAGCGATATCGGCTGATCATCTTGACGATATCATCCTAGACGTGTATCAAACGATATCTAAACTCAAAATGTGAACAACAATCAACAGTTGTTTATCTTTAGAGATAAACAAAAAAATAGCAGATCTTCCAAATACAAGTTTCAAATTGAACGATTGAAAATTTTCTTCTTTGCACGAAAACAATTCTCGTCTCTCGTTAATTAACTTCGTCGACTTAGCGATCGACGTAGAAAAGATTCAAAACCGTTCTGGCGATTCGTTCGCGCGGCGTTGTTACATCCGGAAGAATCGCCCGAACTTATAGCCCACGTGCGCTGATGAACCGCGGGACAAATAAATCCATCCCGTATCGCGGCAAAGCTGTTCCGATGTAAGTTAACGGCTTGTATATTTTCATCTCGTCCTAAAATCTCGTGTCCCAAACACGAGTCGTAAATACGAGAATAAAAAAATGGGAACAACGTGAAAGACGACGGGGATTGAAACGACGACGTCATCGTCGCCATCATCATCGTCGTCGTCGTCGTCACCGGTCGTTTTTCCCGGTGTGGCCGACGCTTTCGGAAAAATCAAAAATAGCCGATGCGCGCGGCAGTCAGTGCGGCGATGTCGACGGCGAACGACGGTTCGGCGGTACGGTTCGGCCGATGGTGGTGGTGCTGGAGGAGAAGAAGGCGGTGTACTGCTGCCCGCGGCCCTGCGATGCCGACGACGATGTCGACGACGGTCTACCCGGGGACGATCGTTCTTCTGGCCGTGTTGGCGTTTACGTCGGTCTTTCTTGGTCACGTTGACGCCGCCGCAAGGACGAAAGCCGATGAATCCCGTGGCTCGGCCGGCAAGAGGGAGGCCGAGCCGGTTATCGAGGAAGTCACTGCCAAGCAACTCGAACGGCTCCTCAACGAGAAGGATTTTGTTGCCGTGTATTGGTGTAAGTGCCCGCCGCCGACTGCTGCTGATGCTGCTGCTGATTGCGTAGCCCGCAAGATCTTGTCGATCTTTTGTCGCACGCTGATTACAATGTCGCGGTGAAACTGAACTTTTATTTAAAAATCGCAACAGCGATAGACGATATGACGTCTTCGCGATTCATTGGCGTGTGAATTTCGCGCAAGTCGATATTGTGTTTCGGGGAATTATGTCAGACGGGGTAATGTTTCCGATTCGCGCGTCGCCAGACTTGACGATCGAGCGAGGTCGATGTGAAACAACGTCTCGTCGTCGCTTTTCGCAAAATCGCGCCCCGTGTCAGCTCCCGTTCGCGTCTATATTCGTATCGACGAAAGCAAACTCGTTCGTTTCGAAAATCGCGGACGGAAATGCCGCGAAAAAAAATCCCCATGTAAACTCTCAAAAGTCAAGTCTGACGACACGTCGCACCTCGTCGTGACTTTTTTATCGCTCGTGTTACACGCGCGAGCAATAATAAACTTGTTTCTTCTCGCAAAGAGAAGATCGTAAAAAGCGCACGTTAACGTTTTCTAGGATTCTCGTTAGAATATATTATATAACGCGAGTGGGTGTCGATGAAAAGCTACAGTCAGAGTTACGGAACGCGACTCTCGTCATTGAGATCGTTCTGCATCGCAGCGAGGAAAAGGGCAACGCTGAGAGAGAAAACAGTAGTAACTTCTCGAATCGATTACCGAACGCTGTTTATCGGCAAAAATTGCGAATCCTTAATTCTGATTAAAAAAATAATAATAATAATAATCAAGTAACGTTAAAAAAAAAACTTTTCACGTGAAACGTACACCGAAAAAATTATATTCTCGTAAGTAGAGGATTTTATACTTAAAAAATCTTCTTCAAGATTTTAGATGATATACTTCTGAAATTAAGAATTATATATATTCTTAATATATTCTTAATAAAATTCTTAATTTAAGAATATAGTCTTTTTCGATAGTGAGATATATATGTTTTTCCATAGAGGCTTTTTATATTCTAATCAGTATATATTCTTATCAATGTTACTATTTAGAGGATTTTCCTCTTAAAATAAGAAACTCTTCTTGGGGCGCCTATTTTAGTATAAAATATACTTAGAGTAAGTGGGATATCCTCAAAANAAGAATACAATTTTTTCGGTGTAACGATAAAATCGATCGCGACAGATTTGCAATTAAACTCTCGATAAAAAAAAATCGCGATAATTCGTTGCTCGAAACGACGAAGAACGTCGCTTTGAAAAAGCAGAAAAACTTCGCGCATCGTTTTGAGCAACAATTCGCAACTTCGTTTTTTTTGGGCGGGGGGAAGACAATCGAAGTTGCAAAAAACAACCTGGTTCCTCCTCGCAATTTTCGCGAGGCGCACGTTCGCATTGTTGTGCCCGTCGACGTACGTCGTCGCTTCGTAAACGATAATTTTCACTCTCGCAAATTGCCCTCACGTGAGACTTAACAGGTATTAAATCCACGTCTTCTGCCAAGTGCTACGACCGCTCAGTAGGACAGTACGTCTGAAGGCGCATCACGAGCTCCGCTCCGAGTTTGCTAATACCAACGGAGCTCTCTCGACGCGCTTCGTTTAATTTAAATTGCAACGAGAAATCTTTCCGACGAATTGTCTTCGCGGCGAAATAATCTCGGGTCGGCATAAATTTGAACAACAAAAATTTCGGCCTTAAAAACAGATGATTGAATTACCGATATCGAATCGCGCGCTACATGCTGAATATGACCGAAGGTCATATCTCGCATGGCGACGCGCCAAAAAATACACACGCACAATTCGCGGAGTTTCCCCAGAAATATATCCTTTTAATTAAACGCAACGCACAAAGTCGCGTCATTGTTTTTGTCTCGATTAAAAAACAAAAATATTCAATTTTAAAGACAAATTCGTCCAAAAAAAAAAGAACATCTTCGCGTGCGCACACCGAAAAAATTGTATTCTTATTTTGAAGATATCCCACTTACTTTAAGTATATTTTATACTAAAATAGGCGCTAAGAAGAGTTTCTTATTTTAAGAGGAAAATCCTCTAAATAGTAATATTGATATAAGAATATATACTGATTAGAATATAAAAAGCCTCTATAGAAACCCATATATATCTCACTATCGAAAAAGACTATATTCTTAAATAAAGAATATATTCTTAATTTCATAAGAATATTATCTAAAATCTTTAAGAAGATTTTTTTAGTATAAAATCTTCTACTTACGAGAATATAATTTTTTTGGTGCAGAAAATATGTTTCGACGTAGATTTTTGTTTTTAATATATTTGTAAAACGCGACATTTTTTTATAGCACAAAATTTTATTTTATTTAGCACAATTTTTTGAAAATTTGCGGATTTGCAATATCTTCCGTTTTTGCGTCGATTCAATTCAATCACCGAAAAAATTATATTCTCGTAAGTAGATTTTATATTTAAAAAATCTTCTTCAAGATTTTACATGATATTCTTCTGAAATTGAAAATATATTTTTAATTTCAACTACAACTACAATTGAATTGAACTCAACTACAATTCAAATTTTAAAAATATATTCTTTATTTAAGAATATAGTCTTTTTTGATAGTGAGATATATATGTTTTTCTATAGAGGCTTTTTATATTCTAATCAGTATATATTCTTATCAATATTACTATTTAGAGGATTTTTCTCTTAAAATAAAAAACTCTTCTTGGCGCCTATT